TTCTGAGGCTGTTTGACCCACTAAATTTAGCATACTCAGGGTTACAGTGTATTGCATAATAGTCAGTGTATTGTATACTATTCTATAAACTATTCTCTTCAGACTCCCTCTGTTCTGCTACGGAAAGTGTACAAAGAGAAGAAATAATTTGTCTGAGGTCTTCCAATGAACTCAGTGCAATGTAGACTTTCATAGCTGTGTTGTTATGGAAAGATCTATATTGTAACACCAGGTATTTCTAGGGACACATGAAACAGAGAATCATTTACTGAAGGCCCAGGACACTGCTTGAGCATCCTTTTGATGACCCCCTTGCACAGGACTTAGGTCTCTCCTTTCTGGAGGAGGCCCTGACCACATGGGCCTATCTTCAGGCATCTGGTGGTAACTACCTGTTTCTCCCTTCACTCAGAAGATGAGATTGGATAGGCCAGTCTGGACCTACAGTCTAGTAGGGATTTTGCCTGTGATCCCTCACTCTGGAGATCATGCTATATATCAGAAAGTAATTTTCATTGCAGAAAAGAGAGAGATGAATTTGAGATGTGATTAAATCCACTGCCACATGTTCATTTCCTTGATTCTGTCAATTAGGTAGCCCACATTGCCAGTAGTGAAGCTTCTTTATTTAATTTTTGGTGAGAAAGAGCTGGTTATGCAACACAGATACACAAGCATGTATTCACAGGCACACACACAGTTTAATAGACAAAATAAGATAAACTTTTTACTTTCTGTTATGAGAGTTGATACACAGAGTTGGCGTAAGGCAAATTCTCTCCCCCCCCTTTTTTTTTGCTTTTAAACAATGTTATGAGAACAAAGGATGCTACTTAAGATTCTTCAGAGAAATCAAATTAAAATATGTATTTTATTTGAATATTTAAGATGGGGTTGCCACAAATTAAATTTGCCAATATTTTTACCTGTACAGTTTATGGAATATATCTTACATTTACGGTGATTTGCAATAATGTATTTTAGGTCAATTAGAAGAAATGTGTAAAAATATTTGACTATTAAATCAGTTTGAAATAGATAAATTTTATTTATTTTTTTTTTAAAGATTTATTTATTTATTCGTACAGAACTGGGGTATAGGCCAGAGATGCGAAGGTGAGAGGATTCACCAGAGACAGAGTGGGGAGCAGAACAGGCAGATCGCAAGTACACTGCTGAGGGGAGCAGCGGGCGGGTCAGGAGAGGAGGAGAGGTCTGCCTTGCCATGAGTTCTCCTCGAACTCATGCTGAAGTGGCTTAAGCTTCTTTGTGCTGTGCTTTAACCCGCTACGCCACAAGGTAGGGCCCTTATTTCTTTTTTTAATTGAAAATTTTTTTTTGTCTGACATGAAGACTATGTGTGCTTTATCCATCAATATGGAGGGAAAGACTCCATGAAATGAGAAATAGAACTGATAGAAAGATGGGAAGTGAGTCAGTGGCTCGCCCATAGATTGGTAACAGTTGATCTGGAATACTTAATTTTTGGAATGAACTTCTTAGGTTAAAATAAACTATTTTAATGATGGCCCTTAGAACTTTGCAATTCATTTCTTAGTAGCAACATCTCAGACTCAAGATTTTAAATACTCTTATATTTGTAAGAAAATTTAATATAATAATGATAATTTTTAAAATTAAAAAGCAGTGCAGATGGAATTTGTATGTTTTTGTTTTTGTTTTAATTGCATTATTATTATTGCAGTAACATTGGTTTACAATACAGTTTATGACTGAGAGCTACAGGTTCACACCCCTTCACATGTTTGTTTCCATCCAAGGATCCCCACCCAGTCACCAAGAACCTTCCACTAAAAGTCCACTGAGCCTCTTCTCCCCCTTGATTCTCCTCCCAACTCCCCACTTAGGTAGCCTCAATTCAGCAGTCATATTTCTAGGGTTTGTTTTGGTTTCATTTTGTCTGTCTCATTGTTTTGTTTCTTAACAGTCCACATACACAAATGAGTAAAATCATCCTGCAGTTGGTACCGTGACTCTTAAATTGATCGATCCAGTTGTAAAGTTGCTCCCTTTACATGTCTTTCTTACAGTCTAGTAAATATTGTTTAATTATACACACCATCATTTATAGTGCTCTGGTCCTAAAGGAAGAATATTTTGCAGTGGTGGACTTTTCTGCTTTCTCTTTCTAAGGCAGTGTTTGGTGGGAGAGTTGTCTGAAGGCAGGATGATCAGGAGTAGGAGTGCCTATGTGGTTCATTCATTTTGGGCCTGTTAAATTATCATCCTATGCCCAGAGGGAAGATATATCAAGTGATGAATGGACCAGAATATTGATTTTACATCTTCAAATCTGCCCTGGATGGAGGAGATCAAACTTCTATGCACAAGCTGTTTTATATGCCCTGGTTCTCAAACAGGCATGTAACTAATGTGACCACCCAGTTCACTGAGGTTCAGGCTCAGTGCTGTGATGCAGAGATTCCTGTTTGCTGTTGCATGCAGTGGGGACCTGTTGTGATGCAGCGCTGCGCTTGTGGTCAGCTGAGCTGAGTTCTATTCTTGGCTTTTCTGTTCTTTCACTGTAGATCAAATGATGAGATTTATTTTAAAGAACAAAGAAGTTATTTGAAAACTAATAAATTCAATAAAAAGAGATTATCTTATGAAACATCAAGATAATTGAAGTACTATTTTAATTGGACATTGCATGTTTAAGATGATACACTGTATGTGTAAAAATCAGTTTATGAAATAGTAAGTACAGTTTAATCCCTTTTTTTCCTGTGAAAGGAAATATTTCCCCTGAGCAAAAAACAAAAAAAAAACCCACTACAATGTATTTAGTATGAAAAATTATATATATATATTTTATATATGTGTGTGTGTGTGTATTTGCTTAGGGAATGTAGAATATTTAAATGTAATCTAATATTATATTTTCAGAGCGCTGTGGGTAAGTTACTGAGGTGTTAAGTTGGAACTCTGTGTTTGGTGACTCCTGTAGATTTTGTGTATTTTTGCCATTTTTGTTCTTTGTATTTATTGGTACTATTGAGTATTTGTTTTCAGAAATAGTATTATTATTTTTCAAAGATTTACTTATTTATGCTTTAAAGAACTGAGGCACAGGCCAGATGTGTGTGTGGGGGAGGGGGGAATGAGAGGATTCACCAGAGTCAGAGTGGGGAAGGGAGCAGACAGGCAGATACACTGAAATACACTGCTGAGGGGAATAGCAGGTGAGACAGGAGAAGTCTGCTACTCCATGTGGGTCAGTTCCCCTGGGGGGATTGAGCTCCTACCGCAGTGGCTGCAGATAGCTACATAGTGCTGTGATTTAACCGTTGCACCACCAGGGAGGGCCCCGAAATAATATTTTTTATGAGAAGAAATGAAAATTTTACCACAGATGGTTTTCATTTTTTAATAAGAGGCACATGCGTTGATAGCCTTTAAACCTTTAAGGCTTTATAATATGCAGGTGCCTTTATTGTTTATAGAAATCCCTAAATCCTTGTTTGAAATTTATTAAATGGTGTGTCATCTGTAAACCTCTCCAAATTCCATAGATTCATTAACCTTTAAAGTAAAGTTGCCTTTTATCTAACTTTTAGTATAAACTCTTCCATCTGGGAAGCTTCTCTTTTATGTGCTTGTTCAGTGTTCTGTGTTCTTCAGCACTCTGATAGTAGGTATTTACTATGGACCCAGGCATTCTCAGTAACAATCAAGATCACCAAGAATAACAGCACATTGAGCAGAGTGGTATTATCCAGAACCTTAGTGAGCAAGCAGGCCATCATTGCTTTGCCATTGCTGTATGAGTATGTGTGTGTGCATGTAATGTTAATAAAGGCAAATTTTATCAAAGATGGCTACGTAAATCAATATTTATGTGACAATGAAATGAAAAGAGGGAAAAAGAGGAGAAAACCCACCTTATTTTGACTTCTCACCTATTGTTACTTTTCCTTGTAGGTTCTTACCAGAAACTTGTTGACAGTGTTCAGTGTTGGGAGATGACTTGAGGGGGTCACTTGGTAGACAGGAAGATGCTAAGGATGCTTACAGGGATGAGTTAGGGGGCCTGTTGGGAGAGTGGCAGTGGCAATAGAGAAAAAGGGCTGACTAGGACACATTTCACTGACAAAACTGGACCATTAGCATATCCTCAGTTTTATTTAGAGAGGGAATGAGAAGTTGAGAGAGGGAATAAGTATAGGAAATGAAAGAAAAATAAGTGAAGGTCATATCTTCCTTGTGAGTACCTGAGAGGTACTTACCACTCATAGAAGATGGATACATATTAAAAATCTACCTTATAGGAAATGAGTTCCCTTTACAGCATGGTGACCTTGTAAATAGTTGAATTTATGATTTTGGAGGATCATCAATTCAGGGTCAGAGATAGATGTTAAAGGTGTGTATATAAATACATATCTGTGTAAAGGTACTTTCTGAGGGAGTATCTAAGGGGAAAATTGGAAGATCAATAAATAAGCCTTAGGAAACACCAGAAGAAATTACTTAATGATTAAGTTTTAACAGGTCTTATTTATTCAACTTAATTCCTAGGAGTAATATTTTAAAAAACCTGTCCTAAAACAACCAGTAACCTATATTATGAACATTTGTTTAAAAATCATTGTAAAAATTTATCTATTTGGGCCTTCCCTGGTGTGCAGTAGGTTAGAGTTCAGCACTGCAAGCCAGCTACAGCTGCTTTCATGCAAGTTCGATCCCCAGCCTTGGAGGTGACCCACATGGTGCATCAGACCCCTCCTAACCTGTCCACTGCTCCCCTCAGTAGTGTACTTCATTGATCTGCCTGTTCTGCTCCTCACTTTGTCTCTGGTGAATCCTCTTACCACCCCTGCTCCTTTGGCCTCTACCCCAGTTCTGTATGTATAAATAAATAAATCTTTAAAAAAAAACTGTAAGACTTAAAAAAAAAGTTTAAATATTTGTATATACAGATACAACCGTCAGACCTGACAGATTCTGAAACCAGATATTATTCATTGTAACTTCCCTAGATTGCTGTGCTGAGGAGACAGCAGCGTATGATAAAAAATCGAGAGTCAGCCTGTCAGTCCCGCAAGAAGAAAAAAGAATACATGCTTGGATTAGAGGCAAGGTTAAAGGCTGCCCTGTCAGAGAATGAGAAGCTGAAGAAAGAGAATGGATCCTTGAAGAAGCAGCTCGATGAAGTTGTGTCAGAGGTGAGTGCTGGTGCGACAGCTGCCTTCAGATCAGTTATTCTCTCTTCTTACAAATCAGCAGAGATATTTTATATTTTTTCCTTTGTTACTTAAAATAATAGTACTGGCAAAAGGAGGGCACAGTAAGCTCTCAAGCACTGGTATTAAGAGGAGAGAGGAGTTTTTTAATGTATCTCCTTACCTACATGTAAGAGTTTGTTGTCTCCTTGCCCTGAGTTTCCCCTAACTCTTCACCTCAACTCTCTTCCATGTTGAGGCTATTCAGAACAAAATGAAACATTTAAAATTTTTCTCTAGCCACCTGACTATTATTTTGCCCTGCTGACCTGAATAAGGTTAAACTTCTCCTCAACCTGCCCCGGAAGTCTGTTGCTTTCAGACTTTCTCACTTTGGCAAGAGCCTGAGCCAGGGGCCTGTGCCTCCTGAGGGAAGCTGTCACTGTGTTTCCTCTCTCCCTGAGCAGGTGGGGCATAGCCCATTCATTATGTTACTGAGAATAGTGATTTAAGAGACAGGGAGACAAACTACAGAAGTATGTCAAATTCTTTTGGAAGAGCCATAAAAATGTAAAACTGTTGACTTCTTTCTGGTAAGAAGGCAGTTGCAAAACTCCTGTTTGCTGTTTCCTTTTCTTTATTAAAAGAGGGCATTTGGAAGACTGCTCTTGGCTATTTAAAAGTCCATTTCCTCACCTATGAGTCGTTTTGTTTTGCTAATTTTACATATTCATATAATAGGTAAAGAAGAGAGTTCGCATGTTAGCTCTTGATTTCTGGGATATTGCTGTAGGTTAATTGTACTTATTATGATCCTTTCCTTTAGAATCAAAGGCTTAAAGTTCCCAGTCCAAAGCGAAGAGCTATCTGTGTGATGGTAGTCTTAGTATTTGTAATACTGAACTTTGGACCTTTGAGGTAAGTCCGTAGATACTTTTTTTGAATACTAATGCTAAATATTTCAATTCTGATCATCATTTCCACTTCTATTTTAAGCTTGCAGATTTATTCTTCTTAGTGATAGTATTTTGAAAGAAGGGAGAAGATTTATTAAGTTTCACTAAGGCCTAGCAAAAAATGCTTTTTAATGATGGAAGCCTTAAGTTATCAAACCACTGGTATGGCAGAGTAAGACCTGTTTAAAATCATGGGTCCTACTCAGACTGTCTGAATTCAAATCCTGGCTCCTTTTCACTGTAGTTGTGTTATCTTTAGCGAGTGCCTTAATTTCTCTGTATACGTGAGTTTGTACCTTTAAAATGAGTGTCTAAAAAAAAAGTAAAAAAATAAAGTGAGTTGGTAATAATACCCACCTCAGTACTATGATTCTCTGATAGTATGAGCATCGGAGATTGCAAGGCACTTGGTGGCTTCCTCCTAGCAAGAAAATAAGCATAGAATTATAATTCTAGGTTCTGATTTATAAAATTTGGAATGGGATTCAATAATTAAATATTTTTGAGCATCCCATGTGATCTGGTGTATGTTTTCAGCTAATCACAACTTAAGAAAACTGCTTTAATGCTAATCATGGCATGCTAGAGTAGAAAGGGAGCTTAGAGATCATCTTTTCAGATTCCTACTCACCATGGCACTGTTGACACATGAACAATATTAGCATCCTAGTTGGAGTGTCAAAGAGAAATTGACAGGGGTCATGTTCTCAAAGACCCCATGATCCAGTATGACTGCTGGATACCATGATGAATGTGCTCCAAGCAGTATGAACAGACTACTACAAAATATGAATCAGAGTATGAATTCCTTGGGAAGCTTCATGCCATACCAATAATTGCTTAAAACCTTTTGTTGTTGTTAAATGACAGCAATGACCGTGATGAGAGAAATCTCCATAAAGGAAATTGACTTTTGGAGGGTGGTAGCAATTTGCCAGGTGAAAAGCAGGGAAAAGCAAGTTAGGCAGAGGGAACAGCATGTTGAAAGGCTTGGTTAGGAATAGCCTGACATTTTCAGGAAAAAGTTCATTGTTTCTTGTATATGTGGAAGTTTGGTGGGGGGAACCTTTGCTGACCCTTTGAAAGAGTCTGGGATATAGCAAATTAGCACTTAGTGTTTGGCAGGTACTGAGCAAGGAGCCAGATGTATAAAGATGAATGAAAGTTCAGTCTTGTAAAAGAAGCAGTAACTCAACAACTATAGTATGAATAAGAGTTACATAGCTGTCATATACACCTGTGGACATTTTTGTGAAAGAACATAAAAATAACCAGTAATTCTGATAATGGTAGTTGCAGAGACTTTATACAATAATAGCATTTTATAAACAAATGAAGATGGATCTGTGCTGCAAGAAGTGAGCAGAGGGTTGGGTAGACACTGTGGAAGTCATCATGTGTTACTAAACACTTAACAAGACAGGAGCAATTTTTTTTTTTTTAAACAAATTAGCCACCTTCACATCTGTGGGGATGAGGGCGTGTGCAGGGACAGCTCTCACTTCCATGAATAGATGGATTGATCTGTTGTAGGAGGAGGAGTTTATGGTCTCATGTTACCAGTAGAGGTCTGTGTTTAAAAAAAAAAGTTAGGGGCCCTCCCTGGTGGCGCAGCGGGTTAAAGCACAGCACTAAGAAGCCAAAGCCACTTCCGCATGAGTTCGATCCCCGCCTGCCCTGGAGGAGATCCACATGGCGTGGCAGACCTCTCCTGACCCACCCACTGCTCCCCTCAGCAGTGTACTTCGTTGATCTGCCTGTTCTGCTCTCCACTCTGTCCCTGGTGAATCCTCTCACCCTCCGCATCTCTGGCCTGTACCCCAGTTCTGTATGAATAAATAAATAAATCTTTAAAAAAAAAAAAAAGTTAGGTGGGCAGTACAAAAAGGGATTGAAGAGACAGAAAGTATTTAAATGCTTGGAAATATTCAGAACCAATCAGAGGAATGTGTGTCTCTGTGTGAAGGTTTTAGGACTAGAAAGTGAAGAATTAGTGGGAATGTTAGTAATTGTTCATATATCTAACACATATTACAAGGCTTAGATGGAAGAAAAGCACAAAGAGAAGAACTGGAAGGAATGAAGAAATAGAGATATATCTTAATAAGCTGGAATATTTTCAGACACTGAGAAGGAAGTAGGAAAGAAACTGGTTATGAATCTTAAAAAAATCAGAAATTATTTATTCTAGAGAAAATTTGGCACCATGAAATGTCAATATCAAACTTCATTAAGACTTGAAAGATTGAAACCTGCCCCTGAACCAAATATTGGGAATGGAGACACTCCCTTGTATGTTATTCAGGAGCATTCTTGACTGACCCCATCATTGGCAGACTCATTGCTTCAAGACAAAGACCTTCTGGGAGTCTGCCCGGCAGCAGGAACTCCCTGGTTGAACCTTATTAGTACCACCTGGAAGATGTTTATTGAACAACTCCCATATCCAGACTTGTGTATCTACATGCTTTAAGCAAATATTATGTCTTAATTGGCATTGAAACTATCAACTTTACAAAACAGACTGTGGATTCTGATTTTTTTTCAGGTACGACAAAACTAAGTCTGACCATACTAATAGACATTGAAATCAGAGGTTTCCAAAGCATTTTAAGTTTAAGAACCTAAACTCTCTCAGAACAGATTATATTACCATAATGAGGTATTTAATGTTGTTTCAGATGTTTGATGTAGAATTTTGTGCTTATTGGCATGGATCCAAATGAAAAAATATATAATGCACAAGTTTGCCAAGTATCCCTTAAGAAATCTTTTCTGAAGACATGTGCTGATGAAATGTAAATACATCTTACATCTAAAGTAAGAGTTTTATCAAAGCAACGTGCAGCAAAAACTGGCTAGTTTGAAGAGTTTGGGGCTATGGCTAGTCATCTTACAAAAAAGATAAAGATTTAAAAGGACTTAATTTTTTTGGCCATAGTGATGTTGTGCTGATGATATCAATCTAACAATTTCTGGCACCGGATTCAAGGAGCCGGAGCTGGCTTACTCTGGGTGGTCTATAAAATAATCATAACTTTACACAACAGTGAGAGATAAATAGGACAAAGGAAAGTACAAAATATGATAGTAAGATTAAATGTCGGATATTATCTGTAATCACACTACGTAGAAATGGATTAAACTCTGTAGAAGGTAGTGATTATCAGTTGGGGTGGAGGTGGGGCACAAAATTCAACTTTATACAATTTGTAAGAGAAAAAAACCTAAAAAAAAAAAGCTACAGGAATCTTGAGAAATCAAAAGATGAAAAAAAAAATTGTAGCCAAAAGAAAGCTGAAATTGTTCTATTAATATCAGACAAATCTAAATTTAACTTATGGAGAAAGCCTTAGACACAGTAACTAAATATCCATTTAAACATTTAGTTTTCCAGGAATATGTAGTAATACCTGCATTGACCACTGTTTAATAATGTAGTTTAGAAAAAATTGACTATAGAACTATAGTGCCACCAGAGAGGGAAATTTTCACAAACCTCTCTCATTAGTTGATAGGCCACATAGACAAGAAAATTTGTAAGAATAGAGAATATGTATGTTATCATTATTAAATTTGGTCTAATGCCCACAGATGTGAACACTACCAATGCACCACTACTTCTTACTAATATGCAAATGTTGAAAAAATTAACCAGTGCTAGATCATGAAGGAAGTCTCAAATATCAAAGATGAACACATAGACTACCTTAACTGTCAATCTAATAAAGGTAGAATCAGTAATACTAAGATGGACTGATTTCCTACTGAAAATGAAAAAGCACAATTCTACACAACCTGTGGATCAAAGGAGAAATAATGAAATTATCGCCCAATGTTATTTATTTATTTATTTAGTAAAACTTAATAGGAAGTACCATATTGTGTCAAATAAGCACATTGTTGAAGATTATTTACAGTATAATTGCATTTGAGTTGAATTCAGACCAGAAAAGCTATGTAACATGAATGCATGTAAATACAGGATAGAGTAATAAAGAAAAGCAATGTGGTTGTTACTACAGAATTCAAAAGTCTTTGGGCAGCCCTATAATTAACTTGAATCTTGGGATAAGTATTTCTTTTTGTGCTTCCTACTTACCTTGTCACATATCATAGCATTTATCACGTTACATTTATCACAAGATAGGCACATTATATATATATTTTTAAAGATTTAAAATTTTATTTAATGCATACAGAACTGGGGTGCAGGGCAGAGGTTCAGAGGCAGTGAGAGGATTCACCAGAGACAGAGTGGGGAGCAGAACAGGCAGCTTGATGGCTGCGCTGTGTGAGTCAGCTCCCTGGCAGGGATCAAACTCTTGCTGTAGAGTCTGTGGCTGGCTTCACAATGCTGCGCTCTGACCTGTTGTGCTACCAGGGAGGGCCCCTGTAGAGACTGTGTTTTTTAAGACTAGAAATGCTGCCTTATTTCTTTTTTAAAGTCCTTCAGCCTCTAGTATGATGTGTATAGTATATGGTTAACATGAAAAATTGCTGCACTGGATTGCACTGAATTTTTCAACCTGACTAGAAGAGAAGGGCCTTGGCAAAGGAACTGTTAAAAACAAATGTTTCCAGTGTAGAAGAGTGGCTTTTATCTGCAGCAAGAGGCAGTCAGGCTGGCCTGAGGTCCCCTGACTTTCAGATAGTGCTTGCCATGTTGTAGCTACTGAATACATGTTTGTTGGATAATGGTTAAGTGAACAAATGAATGAGGGAATGACTGATTAGGTGTGAATGAGCATAGGGCTGTATGTGGGAGTGGTGAGTGGTAGCTCTGACATACTGCCCGGTCCTGTAGCGGTCCTGTTCCCTACAAAGGAGAAAGGTATCCAGCACTGACTGAGGCAAGATATGAAGTAACCTGTCTGTGTGAGCTTTATACTAAGAAGAGACAGAGGAGATAGTTATCGTAAAGAAAGGCATCCCAGAGCATAGCAAAAGAAAATATTTATA